CAAAGACACACATCGGCTCAACATAAAGGGATGGAGGAAAATTTACCAAGCAAATGGAAAGCAAGAAAAGCAGGGATTGCAATCCTAGTCTCTGACAAAACAGACTTTAAACCAGCAAAGATCCAAAAAGACAAAGAAGGGCATTATGTAATGGTAAAGGGAACAATTCAACAAGAAGAGCTAACTATTCTAAACATATATGCACCCAATACAAGAGCACCCAGAGTCATAAAACAAATTATTTGAGACCTACAAAGAGACTTAGACTCCCATACAATAATAGTGGAAGACTTTAACACCCTACTGTCAGTATTAGACAGATTTATGAGACAGAAAATTAACAAGGATCTTCAGGACTTGAATTCAGCTCTGGGTAAAGTAGACCTAGTAGACGTCTGCAGAATGCTCTACCCCAAATCAACAGAATCGACATTCTTCTCAGTGCCATGTGGCACTTATTCTGAAATCAACCACATAATTGGAAGTAAAACACTCCTTGGCAAATGCAAAAGAACTGAAATCATAACAAACAGTCTCTCGGGCCACAGTGCAGTCAAATTAGAACTGAGAATTAAGAAACTCACTGAAAACTACACAACTACCTGGAAATGGAACAACCTGCTCCTGAATGACTCCTGGGTAAACAACAAAATTAAGGCAGAAATCAAGAAGTTCTTTGAAACCAATGAGAACAGAAAGACAGCATACCAGAACCTCTGGGACACAGCTAAAGCAGTGCTAGGAGGAAAATTTATAGCACTAAATGCCCACAGGAGAAAGCAGAAAAGATCTAAAGTCGACACCCTAACATCACAATTAAAAGAGCTAGAGAGCCAAGAATAAACAAATCTAAAAGCTAGCAGAAGACAAGAAATAACTAAGATCAGAGAAGAATTGAAAGAGGTAGAGACATGAAAAACCTTCCAAAAAATTATTAAATCCTTTTTGAAAAAATTAATAATATAGATAGATCACTGGCTAGCCTAAGAAGAAAAGAAAGAAGAATCAAATAGACACAATAAAAAATGGCAAAGGGTATATCATCACTGACCCCACAGAAATACAGACTATCATTGGTGAATACTGTAAGCACCTTTAATGCAAATAAGCTAGAATAGCTAGAAGAAATTGATAAATTACTGGACACATATACCCTCCCAAGATTAATCAGGCAGATGCCAAATCCGTGAATAGACCAATAACACGTTCTGAAATTGAGGTAGTAATTAATACCCTACCAACCAAAAAAAAAAAAAAAAAAGCCCAGGACCAGAGAGATTTACAGCTGAATTCTACCAGAAATACAGAGGAACTGGTACCATTCCTTCTTAAACTCTTTCAAACAACTGAAAAGGAGGGACTTCTCCCTAACTCACTTTATGAAGCCAGCATCATCTTGATACCAAAACCAGGAAGAGACACAACAAAAAAAGAAAACTTCACGCCAATATCCCTGATGAATACTGATGTGAAAATCCTCAATATAATACTAGTAAACCAAATCCAACAGTACATCAAAAAGCTTATCCACCACCAGCAAGTCAGCTTCATCCCTGGGATGCAAGGCTGGTTGAACTTACACAAATCAATAAACATAATCCATCACATAAACAGAACCAACCAAAGACAAAAACTGCATGATTATCGCTGTAGACGCAGAAAAGGTCTTGGATAAAATTCAACATCCCTTCATGTTAAAAACTCCTAACAATCTAGGTATTGATAGAACATATCTCAAAATAATAAGAGCTATTTATGACAAACCCACAGCCAGTATCACATTGAATGGGCAAAATCTGGAAGCATTCCCTTTGGAAACGGTATAAAACAAGGCTGCCCTCTCTCAGTACTCCTATTCAACATAATATTAGAAGTTCAGATCAGAGCAATCGGGCAAGAGAAAGAAAGAAAGTATATTCAAATAGGAAGAGAGGAAGTCAAATTATCTCTGTTTTCAAATAACATGATTTTATATTTAGAAAAGCCTACCATCTCAGCCCCAAAACTCCTTAAACAGATAGTCAACCTCAGCAAAGTCTCAGGATACAAAATTAATGTGCAAAAATCACAAGCATTCCTTTACACCAACAATCGACAAGCAGAACACCAAATCGTGAATGGACTCCCCATTCACAATCACTACAAGGAGAATAAAATACCTAGGAATACAATTTACAAGGGATGTGAAGGACCTCTTCAAGGAGAACTACAAACCAACTGCTCAAGGATGGAAACAAATGAATAAACATTTCATCTTTATGGATAAAAAAAAAATATGAAAATTGCCATACTGCTCAAAGTAATGTATAGATTCAATGCTATTCCCATCAAACTACATTGACATTCTTCACAGAATTTGAAAAAAACTATTTTAAATTTCACTTGGAATTAAAGAAGATCCCGTATAGCCAAGACAATCCTAAGCAAAAAGAAAAAAGCTGAAGGCATCACACTACCTGATTTCAAAGTATGTTGCAAGGCTACAGTAACCAAAATAGCATGGTACTGGTACCAAAACAGACATATAGACCAATGGAGCAGAAAGTCTGCAAACATCTGATTTTCAACAAACCTGACAAAAACAAGCAATGGGGAAAGGATCTCCTATTTAGTAAATGGTACTGGGAAAACTGGCTAGCCATATGCAGAAAACTGAAACTGGATCCCTTCCTTACACATAATACAAAAATTAGCTTAAGATGGCTTAAAGACTTAAATGTAAAACCCAAAACTATAAAAACCCTAGAAGAAAACCTAGGCAATAACATTCAGGACATAGGCATGGGCAAAGACTTCATGATAAAAACACCAAAAGCAATTACAATAAAAGTCAAAATTGACAAATGAGATGTAATTAAACTAAAGAGCTTGTGCACAGTACCAGAAACTATCATCAGAGTGCATAGGCAACCTACAAAATGAGAGAAAATTTTTGCAGTCTACTCATTTGATAAAGGTCTAATACCCAGAATCTACAAGGAACTTAAACAAATTTACAAGAAAAAAACCCCATCAAAAAGTGGGCAAAGGATATGAACAGACGGTTCTCAAAAGAAGATATTTATTTGGCCAACAAACATATGAAAAAAACTTCAACATCACTGATCATAAGAGAAATGCAAATCAAAACCACGATGAGATATCTCACACCAGGCAGAATGGCGATTATTAAAAAGGAAGGAAACAAGTCTGGTGAGGCTGTGGAGAAATAGGAGCACTTTTCCACTGTTGGTGGGATGTAAATAGTTCAACCATTGTGGAAGCCAGTATGGCGATTCCTCAAGGATCTAGAACCAGAAATACCATTTGTTCCAGCAATCTTATTACTGGGTATATCCCCAAAGGAATATAAATCATTCTACTATAAAGACGGAAGCACACGTATGTTTACTGTGGTACTATTTTACAATAGCAAGGACATGAAACTAACCCAAATGCCCATCAATTATAGACTGGATAAAGAAAACGTAGTATACATATATCATGGAATACTATGCAGCCATAACAGAAAAAATGAGATCATGTCCTTCACAGGGACATGGATGAAGCTGGAAGCCATCATTCTTAGCAAACTAACACAGGAACAAAAAAACCACGTACCTCGTAAGTGGGAGGTGAACAATGAGAACACATGGACACAGAAAGGGGAACAACAAACACCAAGGCCTGCTGGGACCTGGGGGGTGAGGGGAGGGAACTTAGAGGATGAGTCAATAGGTGCAGCAAACCACCATGGCACGCATGTACCTAGGTCACAAACCTACATGATTTGTATGTGTATCTTTTTTTTTTTTTTTTTGGTAAGATTTTAAAGACAAAGATCATCAAGTAATTTTTCACATGGAATTTAGTTCAGAGAATTTATAACTCTCCTACAACACTCGATGCGAACAGGGTTTCTCAGCACTAATGTCTATAAAAGCAAACATCAGGGCTAATATTGATGCTGAACCCTGTCTCATTCTAGCAATAACTAATCTTCATTAGCAGATACATAAGCTAGTCATAAAAAAATCCATCTCATTAAAAGAGAAATTTTTGACACATTATTTTTGTGGAATGGTCACAAAACTTTTAATATATTTTTGCTGTTTTGATTGGTTGTATTCAAATAATTATAATGATAATATCAGGAGATTCATTTTTTATATTTAGAGACATGCTTTCAGGAAATATTTAAACTTCCTTAAATTTAAACTTATATAATTTCGTGGCAGAGAAATATGTGGTAATCAATAAAAAACCTTCAAGCATAAAATTACATTAAGATAAAATTATACAGGGGAAATGGAATGGAAATAGAAACACAAGAGGAAAAAGAATCAATGTAGAATTTCTATTACAAATTTCTATTTAAAAGTTTATTCTTGGCTGGGTGCGGTGTCTCACGCCTGTAATCCCAGCACTTTGGGAGGCTGAGGCGGGTGGATCACGAGGTCAAGACATCGAGACCATACTGGTCAACATGGTGAAACCCGGTCTCTACTAAAAATACAAAAAATTTGCTGGGCATGGTGACATGTGACTGTAATCCCAGCTACTTGGGAGGCTGAGGCAGGAAAATTGGCTGAACCCAGGAGGCGGAGGTTGTGGTGAGCCGAGATTGCGCCATTGCACTCCAGCCTGGGTAACAAAGAGCGAAACTCCGTCTCAAAAACAAAAACAAACAAACAAAAAAAGTTTATTCTTGTGTTTTTTTAATGGTGAGCATCAAATTACTTGGAGTACTTAGATTTTATTGGCTATTCAAAAGAGTAGGGGAAAGTTACATATTTAAATGTTAATATACTAATGTGGGAAATTACATATTTTACAGCTACTTATAGAAAAATGTAGTTTTCAACTTAAAAATAAGAAAGCATTTTATGAAATAAACGAGCAAATGTTTGAAGCCCTCTTGCCTACAGCATGTCGGGTGCCATGCTGGATCTTGAAGAAGTACACTGCACTTAGAGAATTTATTGTCAAATTTAATTGGCAGTGTTTCCTTTGTTCAACAGGATGGTCTGACACCACTGCACTGTGGAGCAAGGAGTGGCCATGAGCAGGTGGTAGAAATGTTGCTTGATCGAGCTGCCCCCATTCTTTCAAAAACTAAGGTAACTTCATTTCAGGTTTCTGGACTGTATTTATTTTGGTGGTTATATGATGAAGCTTTTTGAATCACATAGAAAATGACATTTTCAATGTCACAATCAGAGTAGCTATGTTCACCAAGTTTTTAGAGAACCTCAAAATAAGTTTGGGTTTGTTAAGATTTTATGTGCAATGTGCTATACCACAAAGTCGTGTGTGTGTGTGTGTGTGTGTGTGTGTGTGTGTGTGTGTTGGCGATGGGGGAGGGATTGTTTTGTTTCAGGAATGCTTACTGCTTGATTTTACTCAGTGACATTTTCATAGCACAGGAATAATTGCTTGTCACGTTAAGAAACACTAAAAGTTCTACACTCTCTAAAGTATGGTGCTGGCTATCTTTCTCTAACCCCTCGGCTTATTTCTTGAGCATTTACAGACTATTAAGGAGGTCAAGGATATCACTTAGCTGATGAAGACTGGAAACTTTGGCAAGATTGCACCTTGATTGGGCTTTTGGGAGTGTTGACATATCAGTAAGGAACACATGATGATTGCCTGAAAAAAAAAAAAATTGTTGACTGTCTTTTAGACTTCTTTTTTTAGTAGTAAAGCCCTGTTTATTTGACATCATTTGAAAAAAGGAATATTTGCAAATAAATTTTGAGACATATAAACCACCTCATTGTCACTACTATTTTTATTAATTAAACCAGTGATATTTTAGAAATGATGTGAAGCTTTGTTAAGACTTTTAATCTCTAAACATTATCCAAGCAACAAGAGCACATATTATTTCTGTTTGCACTCTGATCAGTGTTTCCTCAACAATATTAGGAAGACGGGAAAGGGTGAAATGGTCTGGACAATTCCATCACCCATTTAAAACGGAGCGTTTAGATTGGTGAGCTGTGTGTGGAGGGTGTTATCTAACAGAATTAAGCAGCCATGATGTTTTCATTATATATGATGACACTTGGCCTTTTGAGTGTTTCTCATCTTGATGATTCTAGTTGTTCTTTTCCCTTTGCATATCCCATATCTATTTTATCTCCCCCTCCACTGCTGTCTTCTAAGCCACATTGTCGTCTCTCACTGAACCACTGTGGTAACCTGCTATTGATCCCCCATTTCTCTTCTTGCTCCTTTACAATTCAGTTCCCACTTTGCAGTCAGAGTGGCCATATAAACTGTCAACCAAATCATGTCAGCTCCTGCTTGAAAACCCTCCCCTTAATCCCCATTGTTGTCTTTCAAATTGATTTTCTTTTTCCCAAAGCTATAAGGACCAATGTTAAAAATCAGAGAGTTGCTTATCTTTTTTCTCCTATTCATCTCATTGCTTTAGATTTTTTTCTGAGAAATCTTCTGGATTTTTTTTTTTGTCCAACCTTTTAATTTTCAAGAACATTTTCTTGTTCTCTGATGGCTTCTTTTCTTAAAGTATCCTATTCTTGTTTAATGAGTACAATATTTTCTGTTACCTTTTTGAGAGCAGTTGAGATAACTTTTCTTTTAGTTTTTCTGTTTCCCAAATGTCCCTAATTCCTCAGATTTCTTTCCTCACACCCCCCCTTTTTTTTTTTTTTTTTGCTTTGCCTCTATCTTTTATATTGAAGGATTTCGACAATGGCTGTACCTAACTGTGTCAGGCACAAACATGTGAATGGAAGCTCTAAAGAATGTAGGCAGTGCTGCTCAGATGGCAGTGGTTAAGAGGGGCTCTTTAATGTCAGGATTCCTTTTACCTTGAGGGGGTACAGTTTTTTTGAGAAACATATCTACCAATCTTTGCAGTGCACACCTGTGTGAATACTTTCTGAGTAGGGGAAAGAAGCTGCCAGTTTTGGGCTTTATGCATATTTTAATCATAATAATGATAACTAATATTTACATAGTGATTACTGCTTATCAGGCTCTTTGTTCTTTACATGTATTAACTCATTTAATCCTCACAATTGCTCTATGACATACTGTTATTGCTGTTATTCCCTTTTCATAGAGAAGGAAACTGAAACCCAAAGACAGAGAGTAGCTTTCTCAAAATCTCAGTTAGTGCAGAACAAAGATTTGAACCTGTACAGTCTGACTCCAGAGACCACATCCTTAACACCTCCATTCTCCTTCCTTTTTCTGTGACCACTTTTTCTCGGCCCAGATCCTCATCACTGCACTCTGTTCTGCCTGGGCCCTTGAATCTGAGTCCCTCTTGTTCACCTTCTGCAGACACTAAACTCTGGTGTTCTTCAGGCTAGGAGGAGGCAGTTATCTGACTGTGCGGAGTTGGGAAGGGTCTGGAGACCTGAGGGCTCCATACAGAGTCTTTGAAGGAATCTTACTTGCAGCCCCAAGTCTCACCTTATCTTCTGAGGTACTGCGTTTCCACATCCTCTACCTTTTTGGGATTTGAGAGGCAAATCGGCTTGTCTTTTTATTCCCAGCGGTGTGCTGGAGCCTGGTCGTATCGGCTCATGAGCTGGTTGTGTTCATCTCCCAATTCCACATTCAGTAACATCATATGGACGGCTTGAAATTGCTTATTGTGGGGGTATTTACGGCACGGAAACTGGCTCGTGTCACACACTGGGGCTTTTCCTTTTCCAGCAGTTGGATGTTAAACATTTGTCAGCACAGCACTAATTATACGGCTTCACAGACACTTGGGTTTCAGCCTCTCTCTTCAGCTGGATGAATTACCTCTTTTTTTTTTTTCTTTTTCTTTTTCTTTTTTTTTTTTTTTTCGCCTGCCCCCTCGAATTACCTCTTTTCATATTCCAAAGTATGGAGACAACCCTCGTCTGTTTTTTATTCCTTCCCCATTGTGTATGTGGGAATGGAAAAGGACACAGCACATGTGTGCCCTTCTGGATTTTACGCTTTAAATTCCATTACTGCTTTTTGGTGGAGTTGTGGGAGAGGAAGGATAAATATAGCTATTACATCTGCCATGTTTGGTCAGAAGTCTCCTCTGCACTGAGGATAGCCTCCTTAACAGATTCTGACCACCTTTCTTCCTCATCTCCTCCGGTTTTGCTCCCTCCTCACCATCTTCCAGCTGACCAGCCTTCTTTTACTTCCTTGACTACACGTTTGTTCTCATTTCCTGTTTGCTTGGTTTGTGTTCCCTCAGCTTCTTCCAGATCTCTGTGGTCCCCTTACATTCTTCAACTCAAATGTCTTCCTCCTAGACAGGCGTTTTCTCACAATTTACCCCTCCCATCTTCACCACCCCCTGCCAGTGCCATCTGGCCATATTTTACTTCCTTTAGAGCTTTTAACACCATCTTGAAATTATCTGCTTGTTTACTTGCTTGCTGTCTGGTTCTCTTCAACAGAATGAAACAAGAATTTTTCCTTGTTCAGTGCAAAATCCACAAGCACCTAATTTAGTGCCCAGCACACAGTAGGGCTTCAGTAAATATTTGTTGAATGACTATTAAGTGAATGAGTACATTCCGAGCCTTAAGGCCATCTGACCAGTTTGTAAAGGATTTCATCAGCTGGGCATGGTGGCTCACGCTTGTAATCCCAGCACTTTGGGAGGCCGAGGCGAGTGGATCATGAGGTCAAGAGATCAAGACCATCCTGGCCAATACAGTGAAACCCCATCTCTACTAAAAATACAAAAAAAATTAGCTGGACGTGGTGGTGTGCATCTGTGTTCTCAGCTACTTGGGAGGCTGAGGTGGAAGAATCGCTTGAACCTAGAAGGCGGAGGTTGCAGTGAGCCGAGGTTGCACCACTGCACTCCAGCCTGGTGACAGAGCAAGACTCCGTCTCAAAAAAAAAAAAAAGAAAGAAAGAAAGAAATTTCATCTTACTGAGCTAAGAAAGCCCATCACATTGGAGCCATATTTTCAGGCACCATATGTAATACCACCTCTTTCCATAGGGCAGTTGATCTTTACTGTTTTCTTACCCTTCTCCACTAATCTTTAAGTTTCCCATCCATACAATCATTGTGTTTTTGCATTGCTAGAGAATTTTTTTTTATTGACACTGCCTCCCATTACTACTCTCCACTATTACTTGTTCTCTCAGATTTTGTGGATTTTTTTGTTTGCTTGTTTACTTCATGTTTTCCTCTAAGACTGTATCAAAACATAAAGCAGGCGCTGGGCACAGTGGCTCACGCCTGTAATCCCAGCACTTTGGGAGGCCGAGGCGGGTGGATCATTCGGGAGTTCAAGACCAGCCTGGCAAGCAAACATAGTGAAACCTCATCTCTACTAAAAATACAAAAATTAGTCAGGTATATGGTGGCATGCGCCTGTAGTCCTAGCCACTTGGGAGGCCAAGATGTGAGAATTGCTTGAATCTGGGAGGTGGAGGTTGCAGTGAGCTGAGATCATGCCATTGCACTCTAGCCTGGGTGACAGAGTGAGACTCTGTCTCAAAAAAATAAAATAAAATAAAATAAAGCAAAAGAATGTCTGGGCAGGAATAAAGCAGTCCATATGCTCGTGGGTAGCAGTATCTCAAATGGGAAATGTTCCTACCTTTTCCTGCACCTTAATTTCTGTGGTTTAAAATATTTGAGGGAAATTTTTTAGGCAGAAATATACTGATGGACTGACAGTGTACAAGACCTTTACATTGACCTAGATATTGATGAGCTCTTTCTGTATATGCAAAGCTCTTTTCTGGGCAATGGAGAAATTACCACGTACCTCTTGCCTTCGAGGAACGCAAATAGTTGAAATATATGTCAGTGAGTGAATAATGAATGCCATGAGAATGATTAACAAGGAGCTTATATTACTTTTTATTATCTTGAACTCCTTCTTTATGCCATTCATTGATAAATTCAAAGCAAATAACTTGGCTTAGAGAATTCAGAAACCTCTGGTTCCGTGGAGCATATTGGACAGGTCATTATTATCAAAATTCATTGACGACAACTGTTTTAGAAACTGAATTTGCTGCCAAATTACTTTTCTCAAAAAATTTTTAAATTATATTACAATAATTAGTAGAGCTTCTCTCGATAATTGAATTCTCTGGGAATTTCCCAGGCTCCCTCACTTTGCCATCATAGTTAAAGGAAAGGATTGATATCTTCATATCTTGTTTTGCTTTCTTTAGGAAACATATTGAATGTCAATGTCATTCTAAACATTTTTAAGGTTTTATTTACCTTTGACCCTATTTATTTATTGTCTCCGCTCTTTAAATGAATTTTTCAACTCCTTCCTACTACACATGATTAACTGTGTTGTTAAACCCAGTTGATTTAAACTAACAAAGCAAGCATTAGCTAATGGTTTTGTCAATGCCTTGCCTTTCCTCATCATAGACACCTGGGGGCACCAGTTTGATGGAAAAGGGAAAAGTTTTGGTTTCCTCTTTGATGTGAGATGAAATGTATTACATTAAGACCTTTTTTAAAAAAGTCAAATCAATAGAGTCTTCAGTATCAGGTATTGGTAATTTGTAAGGACAAAACTAATACCAGTCCAATGAATACCAATCTTCATTTTTTTCTTTTAGTCTTAAATATTAAGAATTCCTCTTCAGCCAAGTTACAGTGGCTCATATCTACAATCCCAGTAATTTAGGAAGCCAAGGCAGGAGGATCGCTTCAGGCCAGGAGTTTAAGACCATCTGGGCAACAGAGTGAAACCCCATCTCTATTTAAAATAAAAAGAAAAGTTGGCCGGTCACGGTGTCTCACACCTTTAATCCCAGCATTTTGGGAGCAGAGGCAGGCGGATCACCTGAGGTCAAGAATTCGAGACCAGCCTGACCAACATGGAGAAACCCATCTCTACTAAAAATACAAAATTAGCAGGGTGTGGTGGTGCATGCCTGCCACTCAGGAGGCTGAGACAGGAGAATCCCAGCTATTGGGGAGGCTGAGGCAGAAGAATCACTTAAATCTGGGAGGCAGAGGTTTCAGTGAGCCGAGGTCATGCCATTATACTCCACCCTGGGCAAAAGAGCAAAACTCCATGTCAAACAATAAATAAAAATGAAAGTAAAATTCCTATTCATCTAAGTCATGACGTGTGCTGCAATTCACACTACTATTAGGAAAGGACATTATCCTTAACAATTTGTTATTGACTGACATAAGCAGTGGGAGGACCAGTTTTTAAAATAGCTGTATTTCAAATAGCTGTCAAAAGCTTTTAAAAATAGAGGATATTTTTATGCGAAGAACTGAAGTTTTTATCTGTTTATATTTGCATTGTATTTCGTGTTCCGAGCATTTCCGTTTAAAAGAAAAAGAATGAACGTTGATTTCTTTATGTGTTCCAGAATGGATTGTCTCCATTGCACATGGCCACACAAGGGGATCATTTAAACTGCGTCCAGCTTCTCCTCCAGCATAATGTTCCCGTGGATGATGTCACCAATGACTACCTGACTGCCCTACACGTGGCTGCCCACTGTGGCCATTACAAGGTCGCCAAGGTTCTCTTGGATAAGAAAGCTAACCCCAATGCCAAAGCCTTGGTGAGTGGCTCGCCAGCGCGGCCAAGCTCAGTGGTCCTGTTCACAACGCGCTGCCTCTGCACGTGCAAGGATTGCTTTGAGGAGGTTAAAATGGAAGGTGCTAGTTACAGCGTACTTCTTGTCAATTTTTTCAAATACCCTTCAGGAAAATCTACAAAATTTTCTATTTCTGACATGAGAAAGGCTGATGGAGCCAAACTGTTCATGTTTTTATGGTCACATAAGTGTTTCCCTTATGAACTCAAAGACTCCACAATTATAAAAAGACTAAGGTGGCCAACGTCATCTTATTGTAGACAAACTTATTCTGTGAATTAAAAGTTTATTCTGAAATCTGAAAATGAGGCAAAGTTATCAAAAAACTATTTTAAATATAAGAGGTCTGGGAATTTGTGGACTAAAATTTTATATTATCTTAATCTTGTAAGTTAATGAAATATTGCCTATAATCTTCTGTTTCCTTTTGCCAGTCAGAATTTTGGTCCGGTTTAGAGGCTTAACTTTAAGATAATTTATTCTTTTCACCTTTAGCTATGCTATACTTTGGTTTTCTCAGCAAGATGGTGCTTGTTGTCTTTGCAAAAATAAATGGTTCCAACTTAGTAAGCTGTCTATTTCAGAATAAGTACCCATGTTTAGGAAAAAATAAGTCATCCAATTTTAGGGAAAACGTGGGATTACTAGCAATTTTGAGGTAGAGGTTGTCATCCAATTGACTCTTTAGGAAGGGTTTTTGCCCCTTTCCAAAGGGTGCGGTCATCCTGTCTCGATAGAGCCATACCACCTCTTGTACTCTGGGGGCTCTAACATTCGGAGTGGGCGGGAAAGCATGACAAAAGAGAAACTCTTCCGACCCCAGACAGCTCCTTGCCACTGTAATTCTAAAACCTTTTACCAGAGCAGCATTTCAAGATCTGTTGACCCACCCAGTCTATCAAATGTGTCTGAATTCTGAGAAGAGAGGAAAGGAAATTAGCAATCATGACTCATTTTTCCATACAAGAAAAAATAAGTCCTAAAACAGGGTGTGGGCTCCCGCTCTCATTTTCCTCTGACTCCGAAGATTTCACAACATATGGAGGTTGTAGCCAGTCATCCTGGGATGGACTGTGGCCAGATGGTCTGAGAAGCCTTGGTGAAAGCACCTGCGGTGACTTTAACCGAAGCTTTTATGGTGCACTCTGGTATTTTATAGTTCTCCACTCGCAGCTGAAATACGTGCCACATTCTCAATCATCAGGCAGGACAACTTGGGGTGTCATTTTTAAAAAGCAGATTCTTGTATTAAATAGTAAACCAAATGATTCAAATAATGGAATATTTACATTTCTGCATCCTGGAGTAAACACCTACTTGAAGCATAAAGCTGGAGGAGAAATGAAAACATTTTAGAGCTGGTCTTTTAGTTGTCCTGAAACACAGCAAAGAGTACAGAATAAACTGTGCTGAAGCTGAGCTGTGAGGACAGATGTTCCTGCCCAGATGTCTTCAGTCTGTATTTGAAATGAGGTAGAGGAAGGACATATTGTTATTATTATTATTATTATTTTAGACAGAGTCTCACTCTGTCAGCAGGCTGGAGCGCAGTGGCGCTGTCTCAGCTCACTGCACCGTCAGCCTCCTGGGTTCAAGCGATTCTCTTGCCTCAGCCACCCAAGTAGCTGGGACTACAGGCATGTACCACCACACCCAGCTAAGTTTTGTGTTTTTAGTAGAGATGGGGTTTCGCCATGTTGGCCAGGATAGTCTCAATCTCCTGATGTCATGATCCACATGCCTCGGCCTCCCCAAGTACTGGGGTGCCAGGTGTGAGCTACTGCGCCTGGCCTTTTTTTTTTTTTTTTTTTGAGATGGCATTTCACTCTTGCTGCCCAGGCTGGAGGGCAATGGCATGATCTCATCTCACTGCAACCCCTCCGCCTCCCAGGTTCAAGCAATCCTCCTGCCTTAGCCTCCTGAGTAGCTGGGATTACAGGTGCCTGCCACCACACCTGGCTAATGTTTGTATTTTTAGTAGAGACAGGGTTTTACTATGTTAGCCAGGCTGGTCTCAAACTCCTGACCTCAGGTGATCCACCCACCTCGGCCTCCCAAAGTGCTGAGACTATAGGTGTGAGCCACCACACCCAGCCTGGGACATATTGTTTGGAAGAGTGAATTCCAAAATAAAATAACAAAAGACATGATTATTTTTACCTCAGCTAACCGGGAGACTGTAATGAAAATTCACTTCCTGTTCACAATTACCAGGGCACCTTGGGTTCCTAGGGAAGCTAGACTACCTCTACTTCCAGAGTAGAATCTACACGCTGCTTAACCCTGGTATTTTCTGTTCATTTCAACGTACCACACATCATTTTAGCAAAACTCTTTTAATGAACATAATGAAACTGGATTTTGATGGAATGTAATCAAGCAGGTATGTGTATTCATTCCTTGCAGAATGGCTTTACCCCTCTTCATATTGCCTGCAAGAAGAATCGAATTAAAGTAATGGAACTCCTTCTGAAACACGGTGCATCCATCCAAGCTGTAACCGAGGTGAGAAAAGTTAAGATTTCTGGAGTCCTGAGATACCAATCAATAGTACAGCCTTAGCAGCCAGAGCCCCAGGGCTGTCTCCAGGGACCAGCTAGTTTGTTTGTATATCATGATCATAGACTGCATTCTGAACTCTTCAGCAAAAGGGCCGCCAGTCCCTAGGAGAAGCAGACCAAGCATGTTGGTGGGTGAGTTGGATGCAAATGTATCACCGTGTCAGGAAAACGCTCGCTTAGGGGGAACAGCACCATCACAGAAAGCATAATTTATATAAAATCCTAGATAGTGCTGCTTCTCTGATGGGTTCAGTTTTGTCCCCCCAGGGGCATTTGGTCATGTCTGGAGGTACTTTAGGTTGTCACAACTGGATAGTACTACTAGTATCTAGTGAGTCAACGCTAAACAGTTTATAGTATACAGGACAGTCTCCCGCAACGAAAATTAACTGATTCAAAATGTCGTATGTACTGAGGTTGAATAACCCTGCACAAGACGACCTTGGTGCTTTTGTCTAGTAAGGATTACTCTGTCTCCAAACTCAAAATTAAACAGCTGCTGAGGTTAGTAAAGGATTAGAACTAAGTTTCTCTCATAGGAACCAACTCAAAATTCAGAGAAATGATCCATTAAAATCAGGGCTGCACCTTCTACAAAGCAAACCAAGCCCAACACCTACCCTTTCAGACTTGTCCCAGACCCTCAACCTCCACCTCCCTGCCTCCTAGCACTCTGGTCTCTGTTCATTCTAATTCTAACCCTTGCCACTTCAGTCGGCTAGACACTCTTTCGTCCACCACTGTATGTCTATACCTCTGTGTGTCACACCCCCTTGGCCAGGCTAATCCTGCACATCCTTTAGAACGAAATCTGGGTCATCTTCTTCAGAAAACCGCCCCTCACTCACCAGCCTGGACTACATGTTCCTTCTAGGAACCATTCCCACATCCTGTGCATATTTCCATCAAAGCCCTTATCCAGCTATCTGACTTATGACTCAGCTGCAACCCCACAACCCCCAGAGGCTGAAGACTCGTTGGAGGCAGGGCCGAGTCTGACCGGTCTTCATATGTCCACAGTGCCTAGCTCATACATAGTAGATCATTCAGTAAAGTTTTGTTGAATGCCTGATGCTTAACTATAGGATTTGAAGCAAACATAAAAATTAAAGTGTTGTCTAGTGATTGTTGCTTGGCCTCAGTTTCTTGCCTGCAAATGGAATATTTGTCTAGATTTGTAACACTTAAAATTTCTAAAATATTAAATGTTGACAATATGAATATTGATTTGCCATATTGTCAGACTTATGGCTTCGTATTAGGCAACCTGTTATTTTTAAGTATAAAATAGAAAGTTTACTTTAAGTGCATAGGAACCCTTTTAGGGATCAGGATAGGCTCTGAAATAAAAGTAAATTCTTGGCTGATGTTTTAGTAAATGTCCAGAGATGTCAACCAGTAATCTAGCTCTCTGCTCCCTAAGAGCTTTAAAAGGCAGTTCAGACGAAGTTTTTGCCCTGCACGAGTTATAACTACTCCTCCTACTGATGGAAAAATGTTCCAAGACTGTAACAAACTTCTCATTTTCCGAATTGCCCTCTGTCTTCTCACAATTTGAAGTCTAGGCAGCCAGAATTATTCCTTTTCTGTCTTTTAATTCACTTTGATTTTATAGCATTCCTTTCATATATTTTTGACATTCCTCAAATTTCTGCTGAGATTAATTATCCCCTTCTGTGTCTTTTTAAAAAACAGGTTAGCTTTTTCTAGATATACTAAAAAAAGTTGTATCAAGTTATGATGTACTTGTTGTAAGCTAAATTAAACTGAAAATTTTTAAATGGAATCATTTCACATAAAAAGCACAAGTAAATGATACTCTTTAAAAAGATTAATGACTTGAAACTTTTATCGTTTTTACTTATTCACTCTATTTAAATCTCACAATCATGGGCATATTCAATATGAAAATACCCTGTAATCAATAAATTCTGCTTTATGCTGAAGTGTTCTGGAGTCTGTGTATGTGTGTGTGTATATATATATATGTATGTTATGTATGTGTACATAGGATCTGAAGCAATTCCAGTCTAATCTAGTGACCATTGTAATGTTCACTTTAATTATATTGCCTTAATTTGTAATATCCATAAAGTTAAAAAATTAAATGTTTGAAACTATTAATCCTGATTTGTTCTTCTGTTAAAGAAACAGCTTTGCGTTAGGTACCCTGCTCTTTTATGTGTGACATAATCAGTTCTGAGGGCATGGGTATCCACTTTAAAGCCCAGAATAGGACCTGAAATTTAAAAGTCGACTTTTTGCTAATATGTGTGAAATCACCACTGTCCTCCCTATACATACACACATACTTATATGGATAAGGAAGGTTTTTTAGTACCTAATAAAAACCTTCAAATTATTTATCCATTTTTTTCAAAGATCTACATTGAAAGTATGAAATAAATTCTTTTTCTTTTTTAATAGGTATGATGTAAGTCTTTCACAGTGACAGAAATCATTTAGGAAAATTGTGATTATGTGTTGATATATTTACCATATAGAATCTGTGACATAATGGTGAATGTCCTGGTGTCTTCTAATCTAATCATTAAATTGGTTTGGATGGATGGATGGATGAATGGACGGACGGACGGACGGACGGATGGATAGATGGATGGATGGATGGATGGATGGATGGATGGATGACAGGCTTACAAACAAACCTTTTTTATGCTAAGCCAACAAACCATTTTCTTCTTTTCCCTTTAGTCGGGCCTTACCCCAATCCATGTTGCTGCCTTCATGGGGCATGTAAATATTGTATCACAACTAATGCATCATGGAGCCTCACCAAACACCACCAATGTGGTAAGTATTCTTCAAACAAAGGAGATCCATTTTATTTAATGAACTGCCAAAGGTGGTTTTTATCTACTTTTTTATTTTTTTAAGAGTTGGAGTATCATTCTGTCTCCCAGACTGGAATACAGTGGTGCACTTATAGCTCATTGAAGCCTTGAATCCTGGACTCTAGTGATCCTCCCACCTCAGCCTCTCAGATATCTGGGACTGCAGGAGTGTGCCACCATGCCCTGCTAATTTTTAAATGTTTTGTAGTGACAGGGCCTTGCTATGTTGCCCAGGCTGGTCTTGAATTCCTGTCTTAAAGCAATCCTCCTACCTTGGCCTCCTAAATTGTTGGGCTTGTAGGCATGAGCCACCATGCCCGGCCTTATTGTTGTTATAATTAATTAATATGACTACTTAAAAGAAGAAAATTCAAGAATACATTTGGTTTCCTTTACTTCAAAGGCAAGATACTCTTAGTCTCTAGTTGGCCAGATATTGTTAGGACTATGGACTGCGTTCATTAACTTTACAGGTGCACTACTACAGGATATTATGTTTTAAAAAATAAAGTGTGGGGGATTTTTCTATAACAGAAGCATTAAAAAGTGTTGCATGTTGGAGAAGTGGTTTAGACACTATCGTTATTTATACAAAGTAGTGATTCTGGCAGGGTGCAATGGCTCACACCTGTAATCCCAGCACTTGGGGAGGCTTAGGTGGGCAGATCACTTGAGGTCAGGAGTTCAAGACCAGCCTGGTCAACATAGTGAAACCCATCTCTACTAAAAATACAAAAAAGAATTAGCTGGGTGTGGTGATGCATGCGTGTAATTCCAGCTACTCAAAAGGCGGAGGCATGACAATCACTTGAACCTGGGAGGCAGAGATTACAGTGAGCCAAGATCACGCCATTGTACTCTAGCCTGGACAACAGAGCAAGTTCTGTCTCAAAAAAAAAGGAAGAAGTGATTTCAGCGAACTTTAAAGTAGTCTCTCTTTAATGTGCTTCACCATGTTATAGCAAGCCCATGGAATACTGTGTTCATAGACTACCTGGTGGTATTCTTTTCCCACACTAAGCATTGCTCTGTAGGAACCATGAGGCTCCCTTCAGAGTAGCTATCAGAGTAGTAACTTACCACCCATCATCTGCATATGGCATTTGACGTTATTTTACAGAATTTCAAATTTGACATCATAATATTAGCCAAACAGACCACGAGCATAATAACACTTGTGGGACTCATGAGCCTTAAAGAAGTAACCATAAAACAAGGACCATCCTGGCACAAAAGGGGCGAGCTAGGAGGTCCTGCACCCTCACCCTGAGAGTGAGGCTCCCCAGTAAGACTGTATGTTCCAGCTGACCCAAGCAGTACAACCATAAGGTAGAAACAGACCAGCTTCTCAGATGAAATATAGTCTTTCATGGTACTAATTGCAGAGAATGTTTTCATTCATAAAGAGAATGCTGAGAAATACACTAAATGACATCCTCAACACCTTTCCAGTAAACACAATCCACCAGCTTCCTGTGAAATCTGTCTTCATGTGTCCTTGCATGGAAGTAGGTGGCCTATAAAGCAAAGCTCAGTTTATAAAGGCAGTTTACAAGTGATGCTCACTTGTGTGAGAAAATAGAATTTTTCTTATTTATGTTTCAGTGTATCTGTTTCTAATATCATTTTCATTTTTAATCAAGTAAAGAAGTAATCTGAATTAAAATCTCTTTGGTGAAAAAGTAGGGGGAGGGTGGTCCCAGGCAAAGAAAATGACCCACTGGGAAAATGCCCAAAGATGAAGATACTGCTCTGTTCAGATAAAACAGGAAATGCAAACCAGCTGTTGACAAGCCAAATCCGGCCCTCGGCTGTGTTTATGTTGCCCATGTAGTATTTTGTTTTTAATTCTGAATTTATGGTCAATATTTAAGAATTAGAAAATTCATACAAATATCCAGGCTGCCACTTGTTTTGAAAAGTAGCAAGATGTGGCTCGGTAAGGCTGGCATCCTGCACAGTGACAGCAGGGAGCTACAGATGCAGGGGCAGCGGGGGGTGTGGGCTGCCCCCTTCAGCACAGGCGTGGGCTCTCTGGAGCATGCCACACCAGCCCTGCTGCCCTCACTCACCCGCCTGCTTGGCTCCTGTGATGACTTGCCTTTCCAGCCCCAGGGAGGCCACGCTGTAGGTTACTGAGCAGCACCCCCGGCACAGTGATTGACAAGACCCCCTAGGCTTATGCCAAAGTCTTTACCTCATGGACCAGCTTCCTGTGAAATTCTTTTGCATTTGGTTTCCTATCTTTTCAATAAGGAAGTGCTTAGGACTATTTTTGATTGTTGAAAAAAGGTTATCATAAGCTTTATGCCAAATAAAATACGCCGCTCTTCTTCAGAGCTGCAGCTAACTTACTGTGGCTTATGTTCCCTAGAGAGGAGAAACAGCACTGCACATGGCGGCTCGCTCTGGCCAAGCTGAAGTCGTGCGGTATCTGGTACAAGACGGAGCTCAGGTAGAAGCTAAAGCTAAGGTATGTGCAGTACTTGACAAGCATTTGAAACGGAGGAAAAACCCTTTGATTTTCTTAAAACTTTAAAATATATACAATGCCATCTTTCAAGAATACTTTAAAAATAGTGAACAGCCTCCAATGATGAAAGTACCCAAATAATGTTGTAAAAAAATCACTTTTCTCTGCATTTGTTCATTCAATTATTTAACAAAATGCAGTAGGATGACTTGTGCCTGAAACTGTCAACACATGGCTAGTCCCTAACAGGGTAGGGACCGAATGTAGACTTGGTCCAAAGTTCTTCGCACTCCATGGAGAAGGGCTTCTGCACAAAGCTTCTAGAATGATCACAACTTGGAAGTGTAAGTGAGCTTTCCTGGTTGACTTATATGTCAGCTGTCAACAGCCACAAATGGAAAAGGGAGATTTTTAAGTTTTTTCTACACAAACTGTTTGGTCATTCAGAATTGGCCTCCTATCTCACCTGCAGGAGAAACCCACTTATCTGCTGCTACTGAGATGAATAGTTTGCTCTGGTTATCAGAACGGCAGTTCAGGTCCAGAATCATAAACCATTTAATTTCAACCTACAATATGTAAATATAAATTGACTGAGTCTGCCGTCTCTAGTTTCAAGTTAAGGGGTGGCAGTAGTAGCAGTGTATGAGATCTGTCTTTGGCACCTGTTTTTTTCGGCTTTCAGCAATCCTCTTCTCCCTCTTGGCATCTCCCTGACTCCTCTTATGCTTCCTACTGGTTAGATAGCCCCTCTAACTTTGACATTGACCCTGGTTCTCTTTACTCTTCCAAAACGGTGTCCTCTATTCTAGCCTCTTTCTCTACCTTTCCTTCTTAAAGCACTTAACTGAACCTTATCACAATTTGGTAGGGAATTTCTATTTAGAGGGCTACCACAGGGGATATTTGGGCAAATTAGGGTAAGTTGTACCTCCCACAGCCCGCGGGCCGCATGCGGCCCCCTGAGGCCATTTATCTGCCCCCCACCCCCGCCGCACTTCAGGAAGGGGCACCTCTTTCATTGGTGGTCAGTGAGAGGAGCACAGTATGTGGCGGCCCTCCAACAGTCTGAGGGACAGTGAACTGGCCCCCTGTGTAAAAAGTTTGGGGATTCCCGCCCTAGGGGATCAGGACTTGGTGAGTACCTCCTGCCTTTAGATGAATTGTAGTGAGGGGCCTGTCTAGTCTAGACAGATGCAGCCTATGCCAGGATGCACAGCTTGGCAAGCAGAGAACATCAGCCCCCACTGACGCTTCGACCGGGAGCCTGTGCGCGGGTATGCCACACAGCCCTGCGCTGCCTTCCTCGTGCTCTGCTTTTGTCTACGGGCAGGCCGGACCAACAAAATAATTCATTCCATGTGAGTGCTAATAACTGGTGTGGAGGTATAATGTCCCTCCCAGGTATATGAGTTTTTACTAGGATATGTTCTCTTATCTCCCAAAGAAGGAGCAATTAAAGTTCAAAACTGATTCTCTGTGGCAGGTGATGGTGGGGGAGCATGTATGGATAGAACCGTGTTTCACAGTTTTATTATTAATGGGTCACTCTCCATTGCTATTTAATGAGCTTAGAGCTATCATCTCCGCATTTCTGAACATTGAAGAAAAAGATAAGATTTTTTTTTTAGCATTGACTCAAATAGTTGAATGTTCCCCTTACATCAGGCAGCTAATGTCCCCTGAATTTTTCATAAAGGCACCACTGTTTTCTCAGCTCATCAGCCTTACATTTCTACCTTGCTGTTTAGGATGACCAAACCCCACTCCACATTTCAGCCCGACTGGGGAAAGCAGACATAGTCCAACAGCTGTTGCAGCAAGGGGCATCTCCAAATGCAGCCACAACTTCTGGGTACACCCCACTTCACCTTTCCGCCCGAGAGGGCCATGAGGATGTTGCCGCCTTCCTTTTGGATCATGGAGCATCTTTATCTATAACAACAAAGGTATGAGAGTGGATCCCAGGATCCTCCTCTATCCCCCCAGATACATCATCCTTACAGTTCCCAGCACAGTAACAGATCCAGAAGCTGGACAACAGCATCCGTTCTTGCAATCTTAGGGTAGTTATTAATATAGCCGGCAAAGCTCTGTGGTGGGAGAGGGTGGTGGTTAGTATTTTGTGGGTTTTTTTTTTTTCTTAAGTTTCTTGGCACATTTTCTTCTGATGAAACCTTACTGAAATCCAGAGTCAGATTTCTAGTAAGTTATTTGATGGATTTAAATGGTAGTTTACAAACAGAGCTACAGATTAGCAAAATGCTCAGGCCAAGCACACAAACCACATTATCACAGCTCGGTTGGTAGATGCTTTTATAATACTTGCAAAACAGTCAGCGAATTTTTCTTGGGGTTGTTTTTGTTCTTTTTTGTTGTCATTATTGTCTTCTCTGACTTATGGTTTATTTTTATATCAACTCGGATGTCTTGGAGTAATACCCTAACAACATACAGTTGTTCTGCATGTGCAGAATGCAAAATTTGGAGCTCATTTTTCTTGTGATACTGCATAAGCCTAGCAAGTGTGATAGCAAGATGAATGGGCTTATGGTGTATCTTAAAAAGCTAGTAACTGCTACTGCACTCTTTTATTTGGATGCAGATAAGAAAGATTAATGTATATTCAATATAGAAGATAATTACAAATAGAAAACTATCAGGATAAATGATGACTACCTCACCTCATTTCTTGTGATTCTTCAAGAATCTTGGGCTCTTCAGTAGAGTTAAGATGCAAGTTCGGGCCGGGCGCAGTGGCTCAAGCCTGTAATCCCAGCACTTTGGGAGGCCGAGGCGGGTGGATCACGAGGTCAAGATATCGAGACCATCCGGGTCAACATGGTGAAACCCTGTCTCTACTAAAAATACAAAAAATTAGCTGGGCATGGTGGTGCGTGCCTATAATCCCAGCTACTCAGGAGGCTGAGGCAGGAGAATTGCCTGAACCCAGGAGGCGGAGGTTGCGGTGAGCCGAGATCGTGCCATTGCACTCCAGCCTGGGTAACAAGAGCGAAACTCCATCTCAAAAAAAAAAAAAAAAAATGCAAGTTCGCCAGGCGCGGTGGCTCAAGCCTGTAATCCCAGCACTTTGGAAGGCTGAGGCGGGTGGATCACGAGGTCAAGAGATCGAGACCATCCTGCTCAACATGGTGAAACCCCGTCTCTACTAAAAATACAAAAATATTAGCTGCGCATGGTGGCGCGTGCCTGTAGTCCCAGCTACTAAGGAGGCTGAGGCAGGAGAATTGCCTGAACCCAGGAGGCGGAGGTTGCGATAAGCCGAGATCGCGCCATTGCACTCCAGCCTGGGTAACAAGAGTGAAACTCCGTCTCTAAAAATAAATAAATAAATAAATAAATAAAAGATGCAAGTTCAGGAAGCTCATTTGATGTGAAACAGAATAATGGGTTGATAGGGTCTTGAGTATTCAGGCATTTCACCATATCAGCTGCACATTCCCTTTACTCTGCTGTAGTCTCCTGAGGTTGAATGTGCCGATGACCTCCCTAATCCCTGACTCATGACTGGGACCCCCGCAACCGTGTGCTGATTGGGCTGGTTGATACACAGCTTCCTGTAGGAGTTGGAAGCCTGAGAGAGCAGCCACTCAGCTGTTGACATCCAATTGTTGTATATTTGTCCACGTGTCATTATTCAGTTCACCTATAGAATAGGCATCGTCATTCTAGAATCATGTCATTATTCACTTCACCTATGGTGGCAAAGATGAGAGAATTTCTGACTCCTCCTCCTGAAGATTAGAACACATGTAAGGATTGTGTATACACAGCGAAGCAGGGAAACAAGAAGAGAAAGTGTCCGGTCTGGTGATGTGAGATTGTTAGAGGTTCAGACTTGCCCTGGATTTTCTCAAGCCCTCCAAACTGTGTTACTGTAACTTCTTCTTCCCACAATATGAAACTCTTAAAACAGCCCTAGAATAAGCCCCAGATCCAGCTCTCCAACTTCATTCCAGCAAGATACCTGATGACTTCCAGAATCAATAGCATGCATGCTGTGGCTCAGTCAGCAGAAGGGAGAAAGATTAGGTGTCCTGGAATGTTATGCTCACACTCTATCAATAAGGAGGCTTTTTAACTTTTATCTATGAGTCTTGGACTTTAACTGCAGACTTCACTGCCCATCATTATTAGAACAGTTCATCGGTTCTGGAAAGCAGTTCCTTTATGTCTTATCTTTTTGTTTGGTGGGTTGGGTGGTTGGTTTGGGTTTTGCGTGTGTTTTCCTTATGTCATTTCTGTTGTTCATTATTTTTATGTTTTTTTTTCCAGAAAGGATTTACTCCTCTTCATGTGGCAGCAAAATATGGAAAGCTTGAAGTCGCCAATCTCCTGCTACAGAAAAGTGCATCTCCGGATGCTGCTGGGAAGGTAAGAGGTCACCAGCCACCCTGAAGCAGGCCACTTCCACGGTAACAAAACAGACACCTGCTAATACTTACTAATGGCCACCTGAATTATATTTAAGTCCCACTAGGATGAAGTGCCCTTGGGAAATAAAAGGTAAATGCTGGGGTCCAAGTATTGTGGAAACTGGAATGTACATATGCCCTATGTCATATCCAGTCTAATCTACTTTCCTCAATCTAGGTCTCTGGTATTAAGACACCTTTGACACTGGTTGTTGTTTCTGCACGTGTTTTCAGAGCGGACTAACCCCACTGCATGTAGCTGCACATTACGATAATCAGAAAGTGGCCCTTCTGCTTTTGGACCAAGGAGCCTCACCTCACGCAGCCGCAAAGGTACCTTTAATTCCACATCCTAAGGAGACTGATGGGTAAGCTCTGTCAGTTTCTCCGTGCACACGTACTTCTGCTCCAGGAGTGCCTTCCTAGTTTAGGCACCATTAAAAAGTCACACCAATAGAAGCACCTTAGGACATCTGTGCCTTCTGTGATTTAGTCCACTAATATGGTAGGTGCTCAGGAAGTATTTACTTGTCAGTTGATTTTATTTGACAATCCAGCACCTCCTGGGGGAAGGAAAGTTGGAACACTCTTCCGCCAGATGAAAACCATGAGCACAGCCTGAGGGAAGAAGAAAGTTCTGATTTGTCAGAATTATGAAATATGTGTTACATTTTTCTGGCCATGTTATTGCCTTCAAGTTGTTTATATGCGTTTAGTAAAATGGGGTTGTGAGGTTTTACATGTGGTTTTTATTACTGCTAAGGAGAGTCTTTATTGTTAGGGTATTTTTGATCAGTAGACAACTTAGATTTCTGAGAGAAGAGAGGAACTGAGTGGGTGTATTATCTTATTAGTAGTAATCGAATTTGGGGGACAAATCATAAAGAAGAGTTTCCTTAAAGACAGGTTAATAAAGTGCTGTTGGTTTAATAAGCTCCCTATTGTTAAGCAGGTGGCTATGATCAGAGAACACTGAAACAATGCAAACCACCATTTCTATCTCGTTCAATTATTTCAGTAAACACTATTGGTTGAAGGACTCTTGAGTAGCCCTTATGCTTTTTACGTCTTTGATTTACTATTCCATGTTGGGACAGCTGCAGTGTTCTCCTTTAAACCTAATGTTTACGTCACATCACTGTATATGCAGATGAATGAACTGGGGTTGTTCTAGATTACTTTAGATACCCTAAGAGATCAAGAATTAGGTACTCTCTCCATTTAGGAGTATGTTATCTTCGATCGGTATTTTTTCCTGGAACCTTTCAATCATTTTCTGCCCGCTCCTCTCCAGAATTATGCCCAGTGAAATCTAAACTTCAAAATCAAACTCCCAAACTTGCTTTTAATCTAAATGTAGCTTTCCCCTCCATAATTTCTGACCCTGACAACATTCTTTCTATTACAAAACCACATCTTGACTTGATAAAACTTTATCATTGTTTTGCTTTGAGACAGAGTCTCGCTCTGTTCCCAGGCTGGAGTGCAGTGGCGATCTTGGCTCACTGCAACCTCCATCTCCCAGGTTCAAGTGATTCTCCTGCCTCAGCCTCTCGAGTAGCTGGGATTACAGGTGTGTGCCACCATGCCCAGCTAATTTTTATACTTTTAGTAGAAATGGGGTTTTACCATGTTGGCCAGGATGGTTTCGATCTCTTGACCTCGTTATCTACCCACCTCAGCCTCCCAAAGTGCTGGGATTACAGGCATGAGCCACCGTGCCCAGCCAGTAAAACTGTATGTTAAAAAAAAAAAAAAAAAAAAAAGATATAGCAGCATTATTGATGATAGCCAAAAGTGGAAACAACCCAAATATCCATTGATGGATGAATGCATATATTCACTGTGCATACACAAACTGAAATATTATTTAGCCTTTAGAAGGAAGAAAATTCTGATAATACATGGCGGAATCTTGAAGACGTTGTGCTAAGTAAGCCACTCACAAAAGGACAAACGTATGATTCTGCTTACATGAAGTACATAGAATAGTTGAATTTATAGAGACAGAGATAGGATGGTGGTTGTCAAGGGTAGAAGGAGAAGGGAATGGAGAGTTAATGTTTAATGGATACAGAGTCTCAATTAGGAAGACTAAAAAGTTCTGGAGATAGATAATAGTGATGGTTGGGGAACAATGCAAATATATACTACTTAACGCTACTGACCTGTACATTTAAAAATGATTTAAATGGGAAATTTTCTTATATGTATTTTAGCATAATTTTAAGGAGAAAAAATTGTAAGAAATTTAATGGTTGTACATTTTATTTCATTTCATGTTTATACCCCTGTATGTGTAGGCTACTTTTCTTTCTCTTTTTTTTTTTTTTTTTTAAGCTGGAGTCTCACTCTGTCTCCCAGGCTGGAGTGCAGTGTAATGATCTTGGTCACTGCAACCTCCACCTCCTGGGTTCAAGCAATTCTCCTGCCTCAGCCTCCCAAGTAGCTGGGATTAGAGGTGCCTGCAACCATGCCCAGATAATTTTTATATTTTTAGTAGAAATGGGGTTTCACCATGTTGGCCAGGCTGGTCTTGAACACCCAAATCCTCCTGCCTTGACCTCCCAAAGTGCCCAGCCACTACTTTTCTTATGTATAAGTAACCTCAAGTCCTTGGTAAATAATAAGGGGAAAGAATTTGTAAGTGAACTGTTTTTTCCTTGGATGAGAATAATAATTTTGGCACAATAAGCAGTGTAGCATTGACCACAGTTATAAAACAGTAAATGCAACAAATGATTCCAATCTCTCTTTCTACTCTCAAATAACTCTTAAAAAGGGCAATAGTTGGTATATTCCGAGTTTATTTCCCCTTTATTTTTGTCAAACAAGACTTAGTATTCATAGTTCCATATCTGCAAATATCCTTTACAAAGATTTGAAAAGAAAAGCTGTCCTTAAATAATTCCTTATAACATTCCATTAGCCTTAGGCATGTTTTATAGTCAATTAAACACAGGCTTTTCTAATGGGACATTGATTCTCATTTGCATGCACAATTGCCTCCATAAGAGCCTATGTAATGCCATCTCTGGCACATGTCCAGCAATCCCTGTTTTCCGGGGCAGTGGTACCTGCCAGGGACCTTTTCTAGACTTTAATCTTAAGCAAAGCCAGTCATATAACTTTAGGTATTGGCTTTATCTGCTAGGAAAAAAAAAAAAAAAGCCCCAGCTAAAATGGTTTATATTGATGCGCCTGCATTTTCTCATGGCACAGTTCATAGACAGGACTGTTGTTGATGTTGATGTAGGGTGTTGAGGAAAGTTCTCTGTGACTTTTTAAAAAATCAGTTTGGGGGTACAAATGCAGTTGTGTTACATGACATATTGCTTAGTGCTGACGACCAGACTTTTAGTGTAACCATCACCCAAAGTGTGTACATTGTATCCATAGAGAATTCCTTGTCCCACCCCACTCCCACCCTCCCACCTTTCCGAGTCTCCAGTGTCTATTATTCCACTCTCTGTGTCCACGTGCATGCATTATTTAGCTCTTGCTTCTAAGCAAGAATATGCAGTATTTGACTTTTAGTTATTTTACTTAAGATAATGGCCTCCAGTTTGATCCATGTTGCTGCAAAAGTCGTAATTTTATGAGTGGTATTACATGCTCTGTGTGTATTTATGTGTGCATGTATATATATATATATATATACACATATGTATATATATCTGCCATAAATTATATATTATAATTATATACATTTTATATATATAATTGATTTCCAGCTTTATATTTGTCAAACAAGACTTTATAGCTGAGTAGTATTCCACTGGGGGGGTATGTGTGTGTGTATGTTTGTGTGTGTGTGTGTGTGTGTGTATCTGTATCTGTATACATACACACACCATGAAATACTATTTAGCCATTTAAAAAGAATAAAAAATGTAAATCCCACATATTCTTTATCCAATCACCCATTGGTGGACACTAAGTTTGATTCCAGGACTTTGCTGTTGTGAATAGTGCTACAGTAAATGCACGAGTGGGCCAGGCACAGTGCCTCATGTCTGTAATCTCAGCACTTTGGGAGCCCAAGGTGGGCAGATCACCTGAGGTCAGAAGTTCCACACCAGCCTGACTAACATTGAGTAATCCTGTCTCTACTAAAAATACAAAATTATCCAGGTGTGGTGGGGCATTCCTATAATCCCAGCAACTCAGGAGGTTGAGGCAGAAGAATCACTTGAACCTGGGAGGCAGAGGTTGCAGTGAGCCGAGATTGCGCCATTGCACTTCAGCCTGGGCAACAAGAGTGAAACTCCATCTCAAAAAATAATAATAATAAATAATAAAATAAATATACAAGTGCAAGTAACTTTTTGATATAATGATTTATTTTCCTTTGGGAATGATCTAACCAGTGGTAAGTTTGCTGGATTAAGAGTAGTTCTCTTTTTAGTTCTTTGAGGTATCTCCTTACTATTCTCCTAAGAGGTTATATTAATTTACGTTCCTACCAACTGTAAATAAGCATTTCTTTTTCTCTGCATCCTCGCCAACGTCTATTATTTTTGACTTTTCATAATAGACATTCTGATTGCTGTGAGATGGTATCTAATTGTGGTTTTGAGTTGCATTTCTCTGATGATTAGTGATGATGAGCATTTTTTCATATGCTTCTCGGCCATTTGTGTGTCTTTCATAAAATGTCCTTTGCCCCCTTTTTAATGTTTTTTTTTTTTTCTTGTTGCATTGTTTGAGTTCCTCATAGAGCTTGGATATTAGTTCTTTGCCAGATGTATAGTTTGTGAATATTTTCTCCCATTCTGTAGGTTCTCTGTTCACTCTGTTGATTATCTCTTTTGCTATGCGGAAGCTTTTTAGTTTACTTAAGTCTCATTTGTCTGTTTTTTGATTTGCTGCATTTGCTTTTGAGGTCTTAGTCATGAATTTTTTTCCCTAGGTCAATGTCCAAAAGTTTTTCTTACGGTTTCTTCTAGAGTTTTTATAGTTTCAGGTATTACATTTAAGTCTTTAATCTATCTTGAGTTACTTTTTGTATATGGCAAGAGTTATGGGTCTAGTTTCACTCTCCTTCATGTGACTATCAGATTTTCCTAGCACCATTTACTGAATAAGATGTTCTTTTCTCTGTGTTTATTTTGTTAACTTTGTCAAAGGTCAGTTGGCTGAAGGCATGTGGCTTTATTTGTGATTTTTCTGTTCTGTTCCATTGATGCATATATTTTTATGCCAGTGGCATGCTGTTTTGGTTACTGTAACCTTGTAGTATAATTTGAAATTAGATAATATGATGCTTCCGGCTTTGTTCTTTTTGCTTAGGATATCTTTGGCTGTTTGGGCTCTTTTTTGTTTCCCTATGAATTTTAGAATTGCTTTTTCTAATTCTGTGAAAAACGAGGTTGATATTTTAATAGGAATTGCAATGAATCTTTGGTTTTTCCCTCCAAAGATTGTTGATCAGATTGCCAAATTTCCTTTCAAGCCACAGGCAGCAAAAATGACAGCACAACAGGGCTTTCTCAGAAGTTCCACCAAACCACATCTCCTTACACCCCATTGGCTACTTCTATGTGCAAAAAAAATCGGGAAATGTAGTGCTAACTAAGGACATTGCCAGAGAAGTTTGTTTGTTTTATTTTGTTTTGTTTTGTTTTATTTTTTGTTTGTTTATTTGTTTTTAAGTAAGAAAGAAAGGAGAATAGATACAGAGTAGACAGTCTGCTTTACTCCAGGGGAGCCCAGGTCTTCCTGAATTCTGGCAGTGGTGAGAGATAAGGAACAGAGCCTCAATAGGGTATGATTACTATATGGATGTGACAGCAGCAACCTCAATGTTAACTCTTCATCAAATCACATCCTGTGTCCTATTTCCTGAGTATGTGATTACTTATTCGTATCATTTCTTCTACTTTCTTCTCTTTTTTTTAACTTGCCAATGTATTGTCTTATTCATACGTGTCATAGAAAATGTGATGAGGTTTCGTGAAATTGGAGTGCTGAAAAGTAGTGGGCTGCTCTAATCCATTTTAGTCCAAGCTATGTCCTGTGGCAGGACCTTAAGCTGGCAAGAGGGTTGGCTTGAGTTCAGGCATAAGCTGAATACTAATTAATTGTGGAAGAGATAGTGAGCTTTAAGTGTTATTTATCAGGTTTCTCCTCCATAAAATGTACAAGATATCTATTGACATGGATCAGTGTATCTGTGAAAGTTCTTGAAAAATATTAAAATATGATTTAAATGCTGTATGTTACTTTTGGTAAGTCTGAGATTAACTTTTCATGCTAAAATAATACCTGAATCATTTTTCCCTTGCTTTGTACTTTCCTTTGTATCTCAGGTAAGGAGCTCAAGATAAATCCTTGAGCAATAATAGTAATTTGTCTGTAATTGGCATATATTACAGAGCTGAGTCAGGCTTGCTCGTGTTCGTTCTCTCTCTCTCTCTCTCTCTCTCTCTCTCTCTGCTGCCCAGGCTGGTCTCAAGCTCCTGGGCTCCAGTGATCCTCCTGCCTCAGCCTCTAAAGTAGCTGAGACTATAGGCATGCACCACCAAGCCTGGCTGCTGCAGCTCTCTTAATTAAAAAAAAACATTTTATGACATAGGATTCTTTTTGGTGGAATTAGAAATAAACAAGAAGATTTTCAAGTGTGAGAGGATCTTCAGCTGCATTACCTTGGTTAGGGGTTGAGAAATGACTAACCTGAAGATTATGTCAATAGCAAAAGCAAAAAGAGAGAAGATGCATGATAAGAAGCTAAATTCTGAGTTTGTCTTGCCATTACCACTCTAAGTAGTTAGGTTAGTGTTAGACACATTGACTAATTATATTTCCTATTTTTGTGCTGCTTTGTGAATTTTCACTTTTACGCTGGGGTGCTGGGGAGGTGAAACAGCTCACCCACTCCTGTCACTCATTGTAGCATTGGACTCAGACCAAAGCTCTGCATTTGGCTCTAAGGGCATTGGTCTCTGAAGGGTGTGTCCCAGCAGAGGGCCAAATGCTTCTCAGGGCAGCTGGGGTTTCCAGACGGCAATAGGTCAAAATTAAAAATAGGGATATAAAATCTTTCACCCTTGCTCATCCAGTTTAGCAGAGGCTCGTTTCAGAAGAGTCTAGAAGTGGCATTTCCACTTTCATGGGTTGATATAAGGGTTTGTCAAGTGAGGAATGCTGTTGGATTTTGACATGCCAGTGACTTAAATGTGAGGGTCATTGCAGCAGGATGGCTGAGTACTGAGTGCCGCAGCTCCTAAAATCCCTCTGTGTTGTTTCTGATTCTTCCACATGACTCAAAAAGAGATTGTGAATGATCCATTGTCCAGATACGGATCATACTTCCAAATATAAATTTATAGATTCTGTTTTCCTTCTATAAATATTCCTATCCATGGAAAAATTCTAATTTGTCATTGGCATATTTTATATACTCAGATTCATGTCCATGTCAAAGTGGAATCTTGCCCTTCTTATAAGTGACTAAACCAGGACAACATCCCCCAAAACTCTTTCTTGGGGCAGGAGAGCCCGATGGCTCCTGAGGCACAGCTGACTAACAGCTTATCAAGGGAGTCTTGATTGTCTGTCTCTGGGCAGCAGGGATCAGCCAGGAGAAGGATACCAGAATGTGCTGAAAGCTCTAGTACTGTTCATTCCAAATCTGAGGGTTCTTTTCTTCATGTCATTAATATATGTCAGTTATTATATATGAGGCACTAGAGAGATACAAAGCCAAATATAACACAATATGTGCCCCTTACAAATGCATATTTTAGTAGGAGGGGACAGATAAATTAACAAAAGAGTGTGCCACTAAATATCCCCAGGACTTTGATAAGAGTCAGTCAGGGCAAGGGTTGGGGCTGAGGCTTGAGTGGGAAGAAATAAAAAACTTCATGGAGGGTGTGACCCTTGAGCTGAATTTTCAGCTGACAGATGCTGGCTCCTGGGCATGTTGGGGAAAAGCATTCTTGCAGAGTAAGGCAAGACAGAGAAACGTGAGACTGTATTCTGTTTGGGGGACATGCAGGATGACAGACCAGCATGAAGGCAAGTTTTGCAATAGAAGTTAAAGGGCCAAATGACAAGAGATGACAGTGTCTTAATTTCCATGAAGTTGTTGGCAAAATTAAAAATTTCAACTCGTAAGCAATAGATGGCCACGAAAAGTGTTCTTCAAATAAAAGAATGAATGGCTCTGAACATGCCCTAATGATAACTTATTGTTAGTTGCTTCTTCCTCCTGTCCTCAATTTGAATAAAGCAAGTAATTATTGAGCATGTTGTAATGTAACTTCCTGTAAAAGGGAAATCTATATTCCTTTTGAAAAACCAATAATACTCTGACTCTTTTTGAATAAAGTATCCATATTAAATTATGTTTTCTGGCCAGGATTACAGGTGTCAGCTGCCACCATTCTGGCCGGGCGTGGTGGCTGACGCCTGTAATCCCAGCACTTTGGGAGGCTAGGGTGGGTGGATCACGAAGTCAGGAGTTCAAGACCAGCCTGGCCAATATGGTGAAACCCCAACTCTACTAAAAATACAAAAAAAAAAAAAAATTAACTGGGCGTGTGGTGGTGCGCCCCTGTAGTCCCAGCTGCTCGGGAGTCTGAGGCAAGAGAATTGCTTGAACCCGGGAAGTGGAAGTGGCAGTGAGCTGAGATTGCGCCACTGTACTCCAGTCTGGCAACAGAGGGAGACTCTGTCTCAAAAAATAAAAATAAATAAATCAGCAAATTATGTTTTCCCTACTTAGGAATGCCGGAGACATGAGCACACTATATTCACGGTACCACTTGGCTTACCAGTATTTGCCTACTTAATCATGATTTCTTAAGCAATTACAGAAAACCACTAGAAAGAGACATATACTATTTGAAAATGCACTGTGCACATTTTTATCTTGTTCCTGGGCATGTGACCAAGTGATTTGTGTTGACAGAATGGTTATACGCCACTGCACATCGCTGCCAAAAAGAACCAGATGGACATAGCGACAACTCTGCTGGAATATGGTGCTGATGCCAACGCAGTTACCCGGCAAGGAATCGCTTCCGTCCATCTCGCAGCACAGGAAGGGCACGTGGACATGGTGTCGTTGCTCCTCGGTAGAAACGCAAATGTGAACCTGAGCAATAAGGTAACCCACTTCTTTCTGGACAAAGCATGCGGCTCCCCAAAACCTCACGCCTCAGAAAGGTCACTGAGAACTCACAAAAGATCTGGGTCAAATATGATGTGTAAAGTGTCATAAAAGCTCTTTACCAAAGTGTTACTTAACAGAACAAAAATTTGGAAACACTCTGTTTAAACAATAAGAAAAATGGTAAATAGGCCAGTTGCTGTGGCTCACGCATTTAATTCCAGCTGTTTGGGAAGACAGGGTGGGTGGACTGCTTGAGCCCAGAAAATCGAGGCTGCTGTGAATTGTGATTAGTTCTTTATACTCCAGCCTGGGTGACAGAGTGAGATCCGATCTCCTTTTTTTTTTTTTTTTTTAAAGAGAGAGAGAGAAAGAAAGATAATGGTAAATAAATAATTAAGTCATGCAACTGAGTGTATGTGGAGGTGGGCTCTATAGACATGTAGCCATAAAAATGAAGTCCACAAAGTTTTTGTAATAACATAAAGTTCTGTTATAATGTTAATTCAAAGACCACCATTGTTACTTCACCACGACATAGCAAATAAGAAGTTGTAAATTGCAGCCCATTGCTCTATTCCACAAACATTTTTGCGCTCCTGCTCCTTGCTGATCGTTTTCAGTTCTAGGTTACAAAGAGAAATGGGAAGCATTGTTGCCTTCATGAGTTCATTTTAATAACAAATTTAGAGTAGCTATTTTATGGAGTAGATAGAAGTTGTTGGCCATTTTGAATAAACTTGTGAAGACTGTTCCTTAAACTCTTCAAACATCCATACCTTCATCTTTGATATCGTCATTATTCAGGAAGAAAAGACAAGAGTTTTGTCAAGCAAAGCAAAAGTTCAGCCCACAATTAACTAGAAACATGTTAATGAAGTTACTGCCTTTCGCTGTATGTATCAAAGAATTTGGATTTGCTGAATTGCTCACTAAGTTTTGCCCAAAACACGAGATAAGTGTTTCTAAGTCTTAGATAATGGGAAACCATGCAAAAGGGCCCTCAGATTCCTGATAACCTCCACTCTCTGGCATGTAGCTTCTCTTCTACCTGCTGGGTGTGGGCATAGCTGTGACATTTCTCAGCCCTAGCTCAGATATTGGAGTAGAGTTTCAAAACAGCGATAGTCGGCCGGGCACGGTGGCTCAAGCCTGTAATCCCAGCACTTTGGGAGGCCGAGGCGGGTGGATCACGAGGTCAAGAGATCGAGACCATCCTAGTCAACATGGTGAAACCCCGTCTCTACTAAAAATACAAAAAAATTAGCTGGGCATGGTGGCGCGTGCCTGTAATCCCAGCTACTCAGGAGGCTGAGGCAGGAGAATTGCCTGAACCCAGGAGGCGGAGGTTGCGGTGAGCCGAGATCACGCCATTGCACTCCAGCCTGGGTAACAAGAGTGAAACTCCATCTCAAAAAAAAAAAAAAAAAAAAAAAAAACAGCGATTGTCTTATGTTGCAAAAACAAGTAATTTAAATACTTTTAACACGTGTACCTGTGTTTTGAAATCACAGAGTTTGAATCCTAAGTTGTATTCTCCTGAACTGTGTCATTTAGGCAAGTTAAATGACCTCTCTGAGCCTCAGTTTTGTCCTGTAGGAAGTGTTGTAGATTGTAGATAACAATACTGACTTCACTCCAGTGAGATAACATTCAGCACCATTTTTTAAGTAGGAAAAAATAGTTTTTTTAGTTTTGGAGCTTTTACAATTTTGCAAAGAGTTTACTCCATACTAATCTGAATTCTCAAGGTATTATTCAACAAATTCCATACCCCAAAAGACATACACAGGAGACCAGAGATATCTTTTTTTGGTTTTAGTATTGTGAAATATTTTTCGGTCATTACAGAGCAAACACATTCTTTTAATTTTATTTTTTTCTTGTTAAACATTCATTTTAGGAGTACATGTCTCAGCGTTAATGGGACTCACAAAGCAATTTCAAATAGTCATTATAGTTAAGATTTGTTTGACCCTTTGAATTTTCTACAGTTTTATATACCAATTTAGAGACCAGAATTTTAATGGCTTGTTACAAAGCTCAACTTGTCTTTATGACAAAGAGGACCTTGCGTTTCTCAAATTGAAGCACATGCTGGTATATATTAGAGTGTATTTTCTCTTGTGAGCCCATAATATTGTATTTCAGCAGTTCTTCCAGAAACAATGTAATACTATCACAATTGGTTTCAATTGAATATTTTCAGTAGGTTTGATACCAAACTGTAGTGTGATTGACTTTGTTTCTTTAAGATCCTGCAGCCAACTAGTACGATATATACCCAGCCTGAATTCACCTTAGACTCAGAGAATGATTTTACACTAAAAATATTTAGGGCAAAAATTTTCTCAGTGCTTGCTTTAGTAGAGTGGAAATTAACAAAAGAAATTCTGAAAACCCGAAGACGTACAGTAAACCAGGGAAACCTAGAAATTTCTGGCTACCTTCCTGAATAAATGATACACAAGCAGAGATATTCCTAAGGGAATTTTTAAAAATCAGCTGGCTTTTCATTAGCATGTTGAACCTCAGGAACTTTGGAGAACTTTTAATACTTTTAACTTTCAGCTTATCATTAGAAACGATCTAATGAGAAAGCATTTGTAAATCCTTGCCTCCTTTCTCCATTGTCATTTTCGGTATAAAGTACTAAATATGCCCTGACATGAAAACAGAAAAGCAGCGCAACTTTTTATTATTCAGTAAGAAACTCTCTCTGTTTTTGTCAGATTTTTCCCGAGCTGCCAGTGTTTTAAGCATCCATTCCTCACTGTCCCCTCCTCCCTGCTCCTGCCTACCCGTCCCTCTTCTCATATAACACGACATTTTATTTCCTTGCTATAAAGTAACTATTAAAAGAAAGATTTAGCTTTCATAATTTATGTTGAAGTAAACACTTTATTGTTTCTGCTTTCTTTTTTCTTCCTAGTAACCAGCACTTTCCCGGTACTTTTAAGGAAAAACGATCATGGACCCCAAGTTACTGCTGAAGTGCTAGTGTTCCATTGGATTCAGTTTTGCTTTTGATGTTCCTATTTTCCCATATAGGTTTTGCAGACCCCATGGCTATATTTTTTATACAACTGAAAGAATATTAAACGGAGCCGTTGCTATTTTAATTTGATGTTTCCTCTGTTTCAAATAAATGCCATTTTTAAAGTGAGCAATGGTTAAAACGCCATAGAAGATTAACAGGTAACTTCTGAACTCAAACAGGGCTGTGGTTACCTTCATCCTGTTTTTTTTAAAATCTTTGAAATCATAACCACAAATGTAAAAATGAAATGTTATTTATATAACATCCCGTTCTACCTAAGAAGACAGTTTAATTTTTTTTCTCTGATTTAATCAATGAATAGGTGGATTAGATGTGAGGTGCTAGACATTGGTTATATAAAAATTAGAGATACAATACTTGCCTCAACAAGCTCACAATGGTTGAAGAAGACAAGCAGGAAAACAGAATTTAAATGCAGGATTATGATTTTTTTAATAGAGGTGAGAACAAAGTAGGTTTGCACGTAAATGTAATAACTCGGCCCTTTAGTGAAACAAGAAGAGAAGAGGCCAGCAAGGCCTGAAGTGACTCCATGCAGTAAATGGGTCTGCCATGTGAGCAGCAGGCACCTGGGCACGGGAGCATGAGAGGACAGCACCCGCCCACAACACATTTCTCAGTCTTTGCTGAGAGCTACTCAGTAAAGTATCCTCAGTGCCGAGAGTCTCAAACTTAGAAAAGGTGACCATGACACTCACAAAATGTTATGGCTGACAATTTTATATCCTCTAAAGTAGAACGTGGAACATTGTTCTGTGATGAGGTCAGGGTTTGGGTGGTGCCAGTTTGGGCCCTGGCTTATTTTTGTTGAATTTCAAGCGAATACATCAGTCCTCCTTTTCCCATTTCCCCTTTATTCAGTTTGAGTGAGCTTCCTCCAAAATTCTATAAACATTATTAAAAAGTCCCAGCTTGATTCTCTCTGAGTTCCATAATTGCTCTAATGGAATAGCAACCCCTGAATAAGTAACGTTTCACATCTAGAAGGCTCCGTGCTCTTCCTGAAACTGCCTTTAGTTCCCTCCTTTCCTCTGACAAATAGGACAGGCTGATGTTTTCATTGAACAGATACTAGAGAGGGGGGAAGACGTCCAGGATTAAGATACTAACTTCTGTGCTTATAATGGGTGAAAGCAAAAAATCTGAAAGCACTTACACCAACTCACTTTCTCTGAAATATTATTTTGAAAATGCTTTACAATTTACAAAGATTTTTTTAAAACCAGAGTATAGTCTTAGTAATATTTTTCCTGGTCATGAGAGCAGCCATGTGTTCTGCAAATTTTCTAATAGGGTTAGTTTCAAATACTGTATCAGCCTTGTTAAACCCATGCATCATCTAAATGGCCTGGAAAGTCTCATGATCTAGCATTCACAATACATTTCATAGGCGATCTTTCCTACCAAGAGTGATATACAGAAAATATTCATCAGACCATGGGGATTAATATGGAGAAAATATCAGCATATGTCAGTGTTCACTTTGTAAACAGATACCATTTAAATAAGTTTTGCTAAAGCTAGTGCCATTGGTGATATATTAAAACTCTTGCATAATTTTGTAAAAAAAAAAGTCTAATTTTTGGAGATGCACACTGAAGTGTATGAGGGAAGATTATAATGTCTAGATTTGTTTTAATACTGCCATGAAGAAACAAATGAAAAGGAAAAGAGGAGTAGATGAAATGAATATAGGAAAACTTTGATAATGGCTTAGTCTGTGGTAAGTATACAAGGCTCACTCCATTTCTTACACTTTTGAATATGCCTACAATTTTTCATGTAGCCTACAGATAGTAATGTTGCCACAGTGCTAATAGAGTATAACATCTATCTATCTATCTATCTATCTATCTACCTACCTACCTACCTATCTACCTATCTACTTATTTTGAGACAGGGTTCGTCGACTCCTGTCACCCAGGCTGAGTGCAATGGCTCTATGTCAACTCACTGCAACCTCCACTTACTGGGCTCAAGCAGTTCTCCTGCCTTAGCCTCCCAAGTAGCTGGGACTACAGGTGCATGTCACCACACCTGGCTAATTTTTGTAGAGACGGGAGCCTTGCCATGTTGCCCAAGCTGGTCTCGAATTCATGGGCTCAAGTGATCCACCTGCCTCGGCCTCCGAAGCATAGAGATTTATTCCACAGTTTTTTTAAACATAGAAATTCTTGGCTTACCACCTTAGAATTCACAAATGGTTTCTCAAACATGACTTTGTGTGTGACATTCCTTCCTGTAAGATGACTGTGCACTTTGAATCTTTTGCAGAGTGGCCTGACCCCACTCCACCTGGCTGCTCAAGAGGATAGAGTGAATGTGGCAGAAGTCCTCGTAAACCAAGGAGCTCACGTGGACGCCCAGACGAAGGTATAGCCCCTCCTTTTCTACACAGAAAAGAATGTGTCCATTTGGTGACTGCTGTAAGGAAGAAACCATAATTGTATCAGGAGAACAAACCCTTTAATCATCTCTTTTCTATGTGGTATTTTAAATGTATGTGCAAGAGAGCAAGACTCTGTCTCAAAAAAAAAAATAAAATAAAATAAAATAAATGTGTGTTTATGCAAGGGACACTAAAGTCTCTGTTTGCCATATTCCAGGGACTTTTATCTTTAACGGCCTAGGTACTTTATCCTAGCTGCATAGCAATTTCCCTCATCTTAATGCTGTTGAGCCTCCTTATAACAGATACATTCTCCAGGGGCAGAGTGTGAAAGCTTTTACCTTTCTTAGTTTTTGTGATGGATTTTTAAAATGCTGACAAATAGACAAATAGAAAAACTTATAATTTGTGACCTCTACATTCGTTCAGCATGATTTATGCAACAGGATAAATTAAGGCTTCTTTAATTATTACTCACTTGCTAAATTCCTTATAGTTTGTGTGGTCAGGCGTGCGTTCTTCGTCTCGCAGACAAATAGCTCTCATTTCAAAAAGAAAACAAAATTGCTGATTAATCTAAATGCCACAGTTCAAACACAGAAAAAAAAAAGGATTTTTTATGTTATCATCAAAGATATAGCTTCACATTAATCACATTTCTCTGAAAATTGTTTTAGATGCTTAATTTTGTTATTTCTTCATATCAGATTTGTGTTATCTACTCTAACATATGTTTTCTCTCTACATGCCGTTTTTGACATGAAAAATAATGACTACTAAATATTGTGAATAAAATATTTATATATAATATAGGTAGGTTCTGAGGTATATGGACATATTGAAGTTATTAGTAATACAGAAATAGTACCCCAAATTAGACAGGTAAAAGGGTATTGAAGGCACCGAAATGCGACTGAAATGAGACTGAATTTAACTTATTTTCTTTATGTTGCTTGAATACTTTCATCAGGAAATAATTCTCAACTTTGGAAATTTTCAACTTCATAGCAAATGTCTTCACTCCATATTGCCTTATTTACACACACACACACACACACAGAGAGAGAGAGAGAGAGAGAGAGAGAGGGAGAGACAGAGAGAGAGAGAGAGAGAGAGATTTTAACACTTTATTAGGTTCTCTCTCCTCCTTATAGATATAAAACTCTAGAAGGCAAGGTCTGGGTCAAGTTTCTCCACATTTTTCTACCCTAGCACATCCAAGACATGCCCTACAATTCAGCCAGGGAGCACGGGGGGATTCTCAAGGCCGGTTGCGGGAGGACAGAAAGAAGTGCTGCGCTCCCTCCATCTGTTTCCCATTTGCACACACAGCCCCTCGATGTAGGAATCTCAGGGCTTCAGGGCTCTGCCGCGGTTTCCTCCTAACCCAGCCTAACTCAGGTCCCAATTGGCAGTCATTTTTTCTCCCAGAGGGAGTCTCACTCTGTCACCCAGGCTAGAGTGTTGGCTCGCTGCAACTTCCACCTCAAGGATTCAAGCAATTCTCCTGCCGTAGCCTCCCAAGTAGCTGGAACTATAGGCATGGACCACCATGGCTGGCTAATTTTTGTTTTTTTTTTAGTAGAGACAGGTTTTTGCCGTGTTGGCCAGGCTGGTCTCAAACTCCAGACCTCGGGCGATCCACCCACTTTGGACTCTCAGAGTGCCGGGATTACAGGCACGAGCCATGGCACCTGGCCACGGATTGTACTCCGTATAATATCTTGAGGCATGTAACCTTTCCCACCCTTTACAAGTGGAGGAGAACATCTCACTTCAAAAAGCATCTCTCTGTCCTTTACAAGCTCTTTTCCTTTCCTTTCTCTTCTCTGCAAAGGTCACAGCCACCGAAAGGAAGTAAAGCCATGATTGCCCCCATAATTGGAGCACAGCAGAAGTGCCCATAGATGGCTTGCATTTGCTGCTTAATTTTGTGAATAAGGAGTTTCTTGTATCCCATGAATGTTCACTTTCTCACTGGTAAAGAAGACATCCCCAAGCAGCCCATAGGTGGGATTCAAGCAGACCATTCAACACGCTGGCTTACATGAAAAGATAATTAACAATAATAAAACTATCAAGTCCTCTTCTCTCGGATAAGACTAGAAAATCCTAGTAACAGCCTTTGTGGTTCCCTCTCCCCGGCACCCCTCCAGTTTGCCGACCCTTTATACCCCACCCACCTTTTGCATTGCAAGTTTGCTAAATGAGTTTAAACTAAATTGTGCCACAGGGTTTAATAATCAGTGTTGATAGAGAGGAAGCCCCTACCTTTGCTTTTTAGAAGGATAATGTCCGGAAGCATTTTATTTAGTCCACCCCTGAAAGGCACTGATTCTTAGAGGGCACTGATTAGGGATCAGGAGTTACATTTGATTTCTTTAAATGTGTGTCAAAGCATAAAAAGCTTTGAGAACTTACGTGAGACTTACTCATTTCACATTCATTTATGGGTTTCCTACTGGTCACCAAATTCTTACCTGGGGGATGTATTTCTTATCCATATAGAATTCATAGTTTAGAGAGCAAAATACATAGTATTATACTAATAAAGTCATCATCATCATAAAATAGAACAATGTATTACCCACTTTCTCTGTGCCAGGTACTATTCTAAGTGCTTT